TTTGTGCGTGACTTTCTAACCCATACATGTTGTCCTCCCTTTCCTTTAAGAAGCACAACTGGAATGGTACTCTGATGAAAGAAGCACGTCGTGACTCACCACAATTCAGAGCCATATTCCCGTCACCAGCGGTTTTCGTCACCTTATCAAATAAGAGCGCTCCTAAACCAGAATGTTGCCATTCTGGTGGCACATAAAACATTCAAATCTGAAGAGTAATCTATTATCATTCTTTATTGAATATTCGTCCTGTGAAGTGTCCTCAGCAAAATGTTGATTTTGGTTTGAAGACAAATACAATCGTTGCCCATTGCAGACACCTGCGGTCCGAAGTTTTGTAAATACCTCAGCATCGTTGCGGTTGCACATGCAACTATTCGAAAAGGAAAAGTGGTGACAGATGTGTTGACTAAGTTTTTTCCTATTCTATGCATTAGAACCTTTTGTTCAATGGAATTTATAAGAATAAGGAATCTAAGAATGAAGAAGAAAAATCAAAAGAAAAAAAAAGAGAAGAGAATAAGAACTTAAAATCGTTAGCACGTTGCCCATTGTTTTAAGCTAGTGTTATGCAAAGCAATTTCTTCCCAGACGATGAATACTTGCCATTTTCCACATGGAAGTACGAGGATTAATTTAAGAACTGACGAAAACTCACATAATAGAAGATATCATCTTCTGGTTCTCCCGAAACTGAACGATCGAATGCCATACACACACCCCCAACTGCTTCCTGTGAATCTAGAAGACGTCAAGGATCTGGGAAGAATTCGAAAACAAAGAAAAGTGAGATATTCCGGAAAGTTGGTGAGGAGAGCCCTTGCGGAAATCTGATGCCAAATTCGAAGATGTTCTGTGAAATCTCGGCACTCCAGGAAAAATCGATTTGCGTAGCATTCAACAGCAGCGAATAATATGACAATCGTCAAGCAGTAGCCGAGTTCTTGGACGAAATGTTTGAAAGCCCATCATCAATGATGGGCACAGGAAAAGAGCTGAGTGCAAGAAGTGCTTAAATCCGCACGGTACATGTGAGGACCAGTTATGTTTAAGAAAAATTGTACTGTTGTAGAGTAACCAGAAAAGTTGGCAGTCCGAAATCCAGTGATCTGCTTACCAGAATGGATACGTCGTATGGTCCATAGAAAGGTCTGGAAAACTCCAGTTTTGACATCTGTTGCCTGCGGCCCATTCACGTTATCACTTTTCGAAATAGCACTATGTGGCCTCTCGTTGTTGGTATTAGGCAATCTTGGAAGGATTCCATATAGAAGAAGACTTTGGTGGTCTTCATAGGAACAATTCGAGCTACATGACATTTATTTCATCTGTGCTATGCTTCATAGTCTTTTCAGGGTGCTAGCCAGACTTCGTTAACAGTTTTGGTTTTCTATTGCTGTTTAGACACCCTTTCTTATCTCTGGTGATGATCGTGAAAAAACGATTCTCGAAAACAATCTCACGATGATGTGGGAGTATTAAGGCGATAAATGCGATTGGTTGAATTTCGTCATTGGCACTCAGCCGACAAGTCGTTTAATCTCCCAGTTTTTGTCCCTTCTCCAGAGATTACAAGCTTCAAGCCAAGTGTGACACTTGCTCATTTTCCTCGCAAATCAACGAGTTCTTCGGTATAAATCTTCATACATATAGGTATTTAACCAATTCCCACATTGTCACCTCGACTTCGGAAACGGTATCAAAGTCGAGATTTCCACCTTCAAATCGCTCAGAGCATTATCTAGCTATACTCACTTCGTGTCACTCAATGATCCAAGAATGTAGTGGTTATTTATGCCAAGGTTGAATAAAACTCAGTTTTTGGAGACATTTCCTAACTGTTGAATAGTCGACTAAATATTTCAAAAACGACTTTCCTTTATCCTCGGTGTAACTAATCAGCATGTGTTTTAATTGTGCTGTGCTTAAGTGTTTGAGCATATACAAGGATGTTACGAAACTTTTATTTGGCTAACGTTCCGATGTTTTCGTCTTTCTCAGAGAAGATGAGAACAAGATACGACAAGAATGCGTCTTCTTCTTCTCTTCTGAGGAAGACAGAGACGTCGAAACGTTAGCCGAATGAAATCGTTTACCAACTTCGTGTTATCTTGACAATGAAAGAATATAAGTCGATAGAATGTTCTGTATAAACCATATGACTGCTTACAGGTGCTTTAAGAACTTTTAAACTGTAACTGTAAACGAAGAGTAAAGGTTATTCCTTTTTAGTCCTTTTTGTTTTTATGGACACCTCTTTCTATTCATCGTTTCTATAATTTGTGATTCTATTATTTTAATCTTTAGCCCAATTAGTTTTCCACAGAATGAAAAATTATGCAAGGAAGGTTTACATGTGAGGGAAAGAACTGTCCAACTACTTGAAATCACAGGTTTTCATAGGTGTTCGCCCAAATTACCCTTGCGATACCATGCCCTAGAAGTTCTCGGCGTTTATATATCCCTGATGGATGCACCATGCATTCGAATTTAAACATCGTTGGAGGTGAGTGAATACATTTTTGACCTTTACAACGACTCGCGGTGGCCTACCGATATACCAAGCCAGTGCTACTATCCTGCCAGACAAATCTGGTACCAATTTGCCGAGCTCGTAGGGATAGAGGGCTTGGTTGGCGTGGGACCCAGACGTTGATCCCAAGCTTATTACCGGTGCCTCCGACCACTGCGTCGCAGTCGCCCCGTCACGATGCTACGATAATCTCATAGATTAAGATTTAATATTGCTTCTTTGTATACGCAGCATTTCTCCTTCCTGTCGGTAACCTAACCCACAGACAGACTCACCCAGTCGATGATCTCCAGCCAGTGTTTGTTGTCCGGATTCAGAACGATGTCTCTTTGTTGTAAAGATTTCGCCATGTCGTACGATTGTGAATGAAAGATGAAATAGAAACAAAAACCACACCATGCATTAGAAAACGTGATGAAATAGGCAAACGTCTTTTGATTTAAGACGGAGAATACGAGGAGTAACCTTAGGCCCGTTGAGAAATGAGTGATATCACATTTATAGAAAACATGAAATGAAAGGTAGGAAATTTTAGCGGACAAAAATTAGTCCCAACATTTTCTTCCGTAGCGACATTTGCAAGTTCGAGGAGAAAGACGAATTGTGACGTATAGTTCTGGGATCTGCCATTTGTTATCCAGGATCTCCTATCACCTTCAGTTCAACTTATGGGGGTGGGCGAATGGTTAGCGATCACTTCGTAAGAAATGGTTCTGATTTGCTGCTCGTCTTCTGCTTTGGCCATTGACGGTGTTCTGGAGTGTTTCGCTCGATCTCGCCATAAAGTTTAAGTGAGCAGCTAGCTATCTACTAGAAAGGGTGTCATGTTCTCGTAACTTATCTAGTTAGCATGCTCCCGATTAAATAACTAAAATGGAGAGCAATGGGCTGGGATCGAAGGCTTGTTAGACCTTCAAAACGAGAATTATTCAGCCCGTCATCACTGGTTGTGCGGGCCCCATCATAATTTCCACTTTTTCGGGGTTTTGTTGATTTAGCCATCGTGCTTCCCTGGGGTCCCGAGATCAGCTTGGCGAAAGTGTGCCCCAGGTCGTCACCACCACATCGTCGCTGCCCTTATGGATCAGAGGGATATTTGCCACCGTACGACTAGTTTGATACCAGGACGGTGGTGGGTCCTATATTGGTTTGCTCATAGCTAGGCTTCCTGATGGAAACGCCGGACTCCTTCTCAGCTTGGGAGATCCTGCCAGGGGGATGACTGCCCACGCTTTACATCTCAGCCCGACACCCATGAAGCCCTCCCAGCCATGATGAGGCGGTAAATCGTTGAAGTTCGTAATACTGTGTGTATAAATACCATATAAAAGATATTCATTGATTTTGCGTCTGAAAACCATCAAGTTAAGGAATATTAGTTCACTCAGTCTATTTTACCTGCAGATAGACGTGCCATTTGTAAAGGACGTCGATCTATCATTCGACTAAATCTTTCTGTGTTTTGTCTAAAGATTGTTCTCAGTCAACTATACCCTAAAACAATTCAGGAAATATTCTGTTTTGGTGAGCTTACACTATGATGTTGAGTGCTTGTAGCGCTGTGGATAGAGTTGCCGTGGAATACACGTGGGATCGATCTCGCACCCTAGGCTCACCAAGCTCTCCATCCCACCAAAGTCGGCAAACTGGTACCAGAGCTGTCCAGAAGTATAGCAGCACTAACTCGATACATCGGTAGGCCAGCGCGAGTCATTGTATAGGCCAGATATGCATCCAATCACCTCCAACGATGCCTAGTTGAGCATCAAGCATCGCTAAGGAATTATTAACGCCGAGAGCTCTATCGTTTTATCCTTTTATGACGAATTTGTTACATAACCTTTATTCGGCTATTTTTAGTACATTTGGCATTTCCAAGCCGTATTGATCCGAGCCGATTGTCCAGAGCCGTTCGTTCCTGAGATTTGTCTCTGTTGTCGCATCAAACGGAATCTCTTGGAGTGGAGCACCGCTGGAATGAAGTAACCCTATTCACCAGTGCGCTTTTGTACAGCATTGTTCTTGACTGATTGTTTATTGAGAATAATTTATTGCCCTCCAGGAGATTCATCCTATAGCAACCGATGTTATAATAGATGGCACATAGCGAGGCAATATTCTAGAAAACCGCAAGTCAAATGAAAATCGATCTCCAAGGACAAAACAGGTGAACAAACAAGTATTCATTGTTATACTGTGCTTGATTCCTTATCGATTCTTTCAAAGAAAACTTCAAGATTGAATTCTTTGATGCACCTACTCGCTAGATAACACGTTGTGTGAAAATCTAACCACGCTCAGATATCCTGCTCCAATCGAACCTTAAGAACAAGCTTTATGTTTCCCGTTCTTTCCGTGTGGGGAACAAAACATTCTTTTAAGTTTATCCTTCTTCTTTCTCGCTTTATTTGTTGTGATTGTGACGCCACAGGTCTATTTTGCTTTATCCAATGTAAAGGTGGTCCAGATGACCGAGGAAGATCACCAGGAATCGGATGGTGAGCGCGAATTGTCGGATTCGGATTCGGAATCCGAGCTGGACATTGCTGAATACGAAAAGCGACGAGAGCAATGCTTTCGGCTAATAGTACTGTCTGAAATTCAATTCAACAAGCTGAAACTCATACTACGAGACTTGAAAATCAAGCAGGTACTGGGGTTATCTTACGTTGTATCCAGGACGTTGTGTCGTTCTCTATTTCTTGTAGTAAGTTATTCACGCTCACCATAGTTCTCAAATGCTCTTTAAGAAGCTTTAAGTTAACGAAAAGACGACAAGAGATCTTGAACCAAGTCGATCCTGAGTTCACGGTAAAACATCGGGAGCTTCAAGAGGAATTCAACGCCCGAGTCAAGGTCCACGCACCCAATTTTTCTTGTATTTTGTTTATGAAATGAACGCTCGTGTTTTTAGCTCGCTGAGGCAATTCGTTGTCTTGAAATGGATTCTCTAGAAAGACGAACAGTTGGTTTGACGGGAATTGCTCAGACGAATCAAGACGATAACAAAGTTATCGTCCAGGTACTCAGGATTTTTCCATGTTAATAAGCTTTACTCACACTATTTATTTAATTTTCTGAACTCATTATTAAGGAGAAAATAAGGGAGAGAATATTGAACAAAATCCAAGCAGAAAAGGAACACCAGCTCGAGATTAAAATCGTAAAATCGTATTTTCTAGGTCTGTCGTTTTTCTGGTCTTTGTCTTTTCTTCACAGGGAGCGTGTACTTTACTTTCACTCTACTTTTTACTACTTTAAACTTTTTGCTTTTTCAGATGGCCAATTCGATTTGAAAAGGGAACGTTCAGAAGAGAATTTCGATTTCCCTCCTAAGAAGACGCGGTATAATATTCCAGTGATCATTCATCAGCTTACTGAACATCAAATAGAAGCCGATATTCGTTCTATGGAGTTAGCTATATTGATAGCGGATATGAAGAGAGAGTATGATACCAAATTTAGCCTGGAATTGTGCTCCTAGTGTTAAAGCCTCAAGTGCCCTTCGTTTTGGCGTACGATATGTGGCCAAATAAGAAAGGTGATTGCTTACGACCTCCTTTGCCAAGTGATCTCACTTCGTCCTGGTTCGTGACAATTGATCTCATGTTTTTTAATGTTTATATTGTTAGTTTCTTTCGTTCCTGATCCATTGTGAGCGGTAAATATCGGGTATTTTCGTTTGTCCTTTGTATATGGTAGGTTTTTTTTAGTATTCTTGGTTCTTTGCTGACATTTCGCTCATCGTAAAGCCCATACTTTAAATAAATTGATCAAGTCCTAGTATTGTATTATTCCTTTAGGCGTTTCCACTCAATATGTCTTTCTGTTACTCTAGATAGAAAGTTGTTTTGATTTTGGTATACAGCTCTGGGCCACTTCGGATGGCGAATTCTGAGCTACGGGAGCTGCTGGATAAAGCCTCTAGGAAGCTCGATTTGCCATTCGACAATGAAGAGCCTATTGACATCACGAACAGATTCTTCGAGGACTGTTCTCGTGAGGCTGTTTCTCTTTTCGAATACAATGAGTTTTCTGGAAATTTACTGATTTCGGCCAGTTTCAGGGCTATCCCTGGGCGAAGTTGTACGGTATGATTCTTTCAGTCTTGGTGAAGCGATGAGTGCTGTAGAATTAATGGATGAAAAGATGGATATTGGAATGAAGAAGGTGACACGAAGAATTGGATTAGAAGAATCTATAGCCATGGTGCTGTTTTTCAGTTAGCGATAAGATCAACTAATCTTTTCCTTTGCCGTTCTTTACTTTTTGGTGTTAGGGTTCTGTCTTACAGGGGTTATACGAGTCATCTCTAGCTGAGCAACTAACCACCTATGACGCAACTTTATGCGCCTTCGTCACTTGGCTTGAAGGCAGTTGTATAGGACAAACAGTATGAGGGACACTGTCTGGTTACTAAAGGCTTCAAATCTCTTAAATGTCTTTAAAGTAACTTTCAGTTATGGACAAATGTGTTGCTAACTGATCCTGAACGTGTTCGCTTCGATGAGCATCCGGTGTTTGCGTGCCTATCCCATGGATTTTATCAAATTGTGATGATCGTTAAGAGTATTATCCAGAATGCTAGTGTTTATGAGGAGGTTAATTTTCCTTAAGGACCTTAATGTTAGTCATTTCTCAATTACTATTTCTAATTAGGAGGACTTCAATCCGCACCTTCCGTTTCCATTTTCTTCACGTTATTCTCTTTGTGAAGTTGTGCAGTTTATGAAGGAAGTGGAGCTGAATCTTGTAAAAAGTTCCGATGATCCGGTGGGTTCTAAATTCTGGTATTTGTAAGATTATATAGTTTCTTCTTTGATTTCACTAGATACTAAATTCATAAGGGTGTTGGTAAATGAAGTAAGTCATTGTAACCGAGTTGTCCATTTTGAGTATTAAAACTATTTTTCTTCTTTCTATATCTACAGGAAAAGACTCATGTAAAGGCGACACTTCTCACTTTATCTTCTCGGATCGCATTTTTACGGATACTACTAATTACTACCATATATCTGGTGCCTCCTAGAAGGGTGGAATCTCCTAGTTCAGATCCCACGCAAACGGTTGCTCTTGATGCTGTCGGATTCACGTAGGTGAAATAAAGTTGTGTTTTATTACCGTCAAACTCGTGATTTTCTAGTTTCTAGAGCTGATCTTGATGCTGCTACAAATTCGGCATCTAAACTTATATTACTGTCATCCAAGTTACTGGAAACGTCCTTGAACGAGGGTGTTTTGCGACCCGATGGTGTTGGAAAAGATGGTCAGTCAAACTTTTTTTCCTGGACGTAAATACATAGCCGTTCCTCCTCGTACGATCGATAATGGTCTGTTTTCTGTCTACCATTTTTTCTCCATCGTCGACTTTTAGGTGATTTCTCATGGTTATTAGCATTTGAGCCAGAGCTGAACAGGGGATATTTGCCATCAACGTTTCCTCGTAAAATTGAAATTCTTCCGAGGGAAAAAGCATTACCCTATCTTCATCGTTTATCATGCAAGTTGGTATTGATGTCATATTTTCAATATTTTTGAGAAGTTCTCGAACAGATCCTCAGTTTTATAGGATTCATTTCTTAACAACACAAGTGCGGAATAATCTCGCGGATTCTACAAATCTAGCAGAGTTCATGAAGTGGTTCAGCTATGATGACAGTTGTGTGTTGACACGATCGATTCTGCAAGTTAGTTTCTGCGCCAATTTTTAGTTTTTGGGTTATCTTTTTTAAAGATTTAACTTGCTTTTACTTCTTTTGTCCTGTGTAACTGTCGAGTATTTGAAGCGTAACTTTTGTAGATGGTGATTTATCCCCTTGACGACAACGTGCTGGGTTCTCAACCTACTGCCATTTTAGTAGAAAGGTCGCTAAGGAACACCGTACTTCCGCTCGCGCTAGTGCCTAAGTGAGTTTTTGAATTTGCGCTCTTTTAATTCTTTCTTCATCTTTCTTCCTCACTCTTTCTCTCTCTTCCTGTTTTCCTCCCTCCGTCCCTCTCTTTCTAAATTCCATTCCTAGTGCTCGTGGTTTAATAAGTTTAATAACGAAGTCATTGAAAATTTTAGTACTCCGCTATATGACAATGAAGAATGTCGCAAAGCTGTTGAAGATTTCACGATGAACACCACAAGGGTTATGCTGAATCTGTATCAAAATTTTGGCAAGTATAGATAATTCTACAGCGGTTATATTTCCTCTTTCACGTCAGAAATTCCATGGTTTTGTCTTTACCTTTTTTTTTTGGTAAATCAAATAGGTGCCGTTAAGGTTTCAATCTTGCCAGACAACGAGATAAATTGCTGGTTATTTTGGAAGAGGTGAACGAGTTGCATGAGGATGCTTCAAAAGCGGATTCAGTGTGTCGACAGTTCGTCTCTGTCCATAAAAAATGTGCGTACTTATCGACTTTGTTTATGTGATACCGTTTTTTCAAGGTTCTTGTTTGCTGGATCTGCTATGGAGTATAATTGTTTTTTTTCTCAAGATAATCCATTCGTCACTTTTGTCTTCATGCAAACTCTTGTTCTTGTTGTGTACCACATCGAGCTAAGTTTTCGACTTGATCTCTTCTCTCCATTCGAATTTCCCTACATCTACTGGTTAGTTTATGCAATTTTTTAGAATTGTCTTTTTATAAGTAGAAGAGTTTTCCGACCTCCTCAACGGCTTACCGCCTCATCGTGGCTGGTAGGTGTTCGTGGGTGTCAGAGTGCGATGTGCACCGTAGTGATTCATCCCCACTGCAGGGTCTTCCAGGCGGCGAACGAGTCCGGAGTTTTGATCAGGATGCCCAGCTAGGAGTAAACCATTACCAGGATGCAGCACCGTCTTGTTATCAAGTTAGTCGCTTGGTTGAAAATTCCCCTCTGATCTACAAGGACCATGACTGCCTGTGGTGGTGACAGTCTGGGCCAGGATTTGGCGTGGCTGACCTCGAGACTTCAGGAACCACAACGGCTAAACCGGCAAAACCGAGAAAATGGAAATTGTGCTGGGTCTCGCACATCCAGTGAAAACGGGCCCATTCCAAGTATAAGAGGAATTTTTAGGTTTTACGGTGAAGTAGTGTGCAGGTGGTACATGACATCTTTGGAGAAATCTCGTGAAGTGATGAAGGATACTCTAAAGAAAGGTATGCTGTCATAATTTTCGTTTTACTCTAAGATCATCACAAGTTCTTTTAAAATCACTTCAAGTTCTGTTTTAGAAAGTGAGTTACATGAACAGTGTAAAAAGAATAGGAAGAGAGCAAAGTCGCGTTTGAACTACGAGGAGCACTTTCGTATACGGTAGCTAGGTTTTTCTACCGTTTCCATGAAATAGAGAAGAAAGCAAAAAATTATTGCTTTTCATCGATTTTTTTGCTTTGTACGATTTTTCCGAACTCTCCGAAAAAATGAAAAGTGTAAAATCATTTATATGGTCTATATCGAGTTCAGACATTTTCTCCTTATTGGTTAGATAGCGGCTAGTCCTCGTCTTAAGATAATTCTTTCTGTTTCGTTCTGGTTGGCTTAGGCTTAGTGGATTTTTGTTTATAATCTGACATAGGATTGTTGATAGTTAACTTTTTTATTTACTGCCTACTATAATTTTTCACCGTGGGGTTTTATATGAAACTCAACCACAATTATGCTGAGATACTTGCAAAACCTCGGACCGCAGGTGTCTGCGGCGGGGATAGAACACGCTGTTACTCTATCCAGGAGCTAACGCGTTCACCACCACACCATGCGAGTCCTTCGTTTCGCCTTTCTCTGAACTAATTTCTTCCCTTATTGTGACTGTGGAGAGTTTCTCGGTTTTGAGCATTAAATTGTTAAAATTTTTTTGAAAATGTAAGTCTTAGGTGCTTAAAACCCACTAGTTTATAGATTATCTTTTCATTGTAAAAGGCGGAGGAGTATCCTAGATCCGCGATTTGCCAAGATCAGTTGGTTCTGCGATATGGTCATTCCGCAATGGCAGACGCTACTTTTCATATAGCAGTTGCACTTATCCAACTGGGTCAAATTCGGGTTAGTCTCATTTTGTGCTAGTTCTCGAATATCCCGAATCCTGGTAATTTTCTTTAGTTAGGTAAGATATACTTCATTTAGGTTCCAATGTGGAATGATGAGTCGGAACGACTTCGGTTCGAGCACCGCATGGCTTTTCTTTCCTGCATCGGCGACCCATTGCACGTGACCTATGAGGAGTTCCTGGAACGCAGCAGGTGACCTTTTAGTACCGTTTTTTCTCTGAATGTTGGTTTAAGAGAGGTTTTTAGAATTCGATTGTTGATAAACGGGGATGTTAATGTCCCTCTTCAACGTGCTGTTGATACTTTCGAATTCGCTCGAAGTCAGTTTGAGAAGCTTATCGATCGACCAGAGTTTGCTGTTCAAGCCAAGTTCGTCTCATTTTCCGGTCTTAATTGATGCCATATATTATCTAGACCTAATTTTGGAGATATTTTCAACCATTTATGTTATTCAATTAGTTATGCTGTACTTTTTTAAAAACACACTCGCGACACATTGATTTTAATAGCACATGCTTAGGTTTCCAACTTTAAAAGAGCATATCTCAAATCACAGTGATTTTTGTCAATTAACACCTTTGAGACGACTTTTGTCGTGGCGGCCACATGAGATTACGCCTATTTTCCGGCGCTACAGTAATTCATGTCTGGAGATCTTGATAGAGTTGTGGAAAGGACATCGCGATATCACTTTGAGGATATGTGCGGTTTTTCTGATTCGTTATTCTAATTTTAAGTTTTATTGAAGTTGAGCTTTTCAAGCCATCGAGAAGAGATTTTTGTCTCTTTTCGAAGATTTGGCCACCAACGTTGAGGATATATCGGTCTCTACTTTACAAAGTCCAATTTGCTCAACAACTTAATTCCTCGAGTTTTGAGCATCCATGAGTATTAATGATGGATTATCGACAGCTTTCGAAAAACCAGTTTTGTGTCGTACGTGTTAATCAGTCATTTTCTAATATACCATTCTTCTTCATAAGAATTTCATTGTGAGAATCGGAATTCCTTTTTTTCTTTGGGCTTTTATTATCCATCATTTTTTCCTTGCTCAACGTGCACCATCGTTCTTTTCATAACAGCTTGAATTTTGGAGCGTTCTTTTTCACATCCTCTCATTATCTCCATCTTTGCTCCTCACTTCCATCTTTGCTTCTTCCTCTTAGCTTCCTGTTTCTGTACCTCACTCTCTTTATCTTTGTGTGTCCACTGTCTACTGGGCCTCAGTTAGGTTTCGAACCCGCGATCACTCCTTCAGAGGGCTCATATGTTATCCATCTCACCAACGGAGGCCCTTGTTCTGCCTTTCTGTTGGTCACTTTTGTTACAGTAACGGTGCCTTCAACAATCACCCGTCAACGAGGACGATCTGGCGAGCACAAATCGGCGTTGTACCTAGTTAAGCTGATACTGCAGTCGAAATTTTTATTTGCTGTCTATTCATTCTAAAAGGGAAGAGAAGACGAAGAAAGAAAGGCAAGGCACGGTTCTCGGTTGGTGTGGTGGATAGCATGTAAACCTCGGGTAAGGATAATGAAAGCTCAGCTGACGTTCCGAGTTTTATCCATATCTTAGCACTTTTGTGCTTGTATTTTACGTAGTTCCCTTTCATGAAAAAAGATTAGGCAGTACGTAAAGGTTACAGTATTATAGTTGTGACATGGATGTGGTTAGCAAGATCTACTTTTTACTCATCCTTCGGCTCTTTTCCTTTTTCTTTATACTTCCATTCATCGCAAAATATGTGATTAGATTATACGTTCAATCAAACTCCGCCTCTTCTCATTAACAAACCCAACCTAATATTTGATATGATTCTGATTGTAGCCAGTTTTTGTCCTCGAGATTAAGATAACTATCCATTTGTGGTCGGATCTAATGTGAAAGATTCTTCAAATTCAGGCCATTAATTTTGGTGTGTCGAACAAACGTTGTAGTGGCTCGTCTAATGCTAGCCGGTAATTTGAGCGATCGACGTGTTGCTTGGCAGTTCATACCTGAATCTCCTGTATTCCCTATTCTTAAACTGCTTACGGACAAATAATCGTTAGGTTATTTTAGGTCTTAGAAAATATATGTATCGCGCTAGACGTTCGGTTTGTAGCAATTAGTTCCTTTTAATTTTTACTTTTTCTTTAGAGAATGATACATTTAGGGGCGTTTTCTGTTGTTCCTTTGCTACATCATAATGTTTTGAGCCTTTGTTACGTTCGGGTAAGACTTTAACTTGATTGTGTCGATTTGCGAAGATTTTTATTCTCGTAGACTTCGTTCATCCCATTGGAGAAACTTAACTATTACCTCCGTCTTTACGGATTTCCCAAAGTTGTTTAACTTCCCTTGCTAGATGTTTTCAAGTATTTGAATTAGTTTCTCTGTTCAGTTGAACAGTAGGTATATATGAAGATTTCTTCTATGCCTTGCTTAATTGGACTTTAGCAATCATTACGAGATCAGAAATATTGTGAATATTTTATTGTTTGATGTCGTTGTTTCTGTTGAAATGACATAAATATCGCGAATTATGCTTTTTTATACCAAGACGTTCTATCGAAGACCCTACATTGTTTGCTTTTGAATATTTGTTATTTTATTCTACTGATTTTGAGATGAAATCATTAGTAAGACTTTTGGAAGTTTACCAGCAAGTTATGCCATGTAGTACCTCAATAAGGACGTGTTCATCTTTGACTCAGGTTAGAATTTCTTTGATTGCTTACTTGGATACTTGGCCCGCTCATGTTCAATGGTAGTGCTAACCCGAAAAATGTTTCCATTTTTTCGTAGTTTTGCCCCTTTAGCTACTGTGTTTCCCTAGAGTACCGAGATCAGCCTAGCCATTTCTATGATTAACGTTTGAAATGATGAGATCACTTAATAAAAGAAAACAGTTTTAGTTGAAACCGAAAGCTGCGGTGCCTGATAAGGACACTCTTCAAAAAGCAGCTGTTAGACCTGTGATATTGAGGCTTGTTGTTTGTTATATTCTTTACTGGGTTTATCATAGCCACTCAGAAATGGATGTTTTTGAGGGACTACATATCAGACGAACTTCAAGCTGAGGACAAATTCAGGTTCGAATCTCTTGTGACAGTGTCTGACATGTTCAACGCTCGACTTCATTTAGGTCATAAGGTGATTTTAGTAGATTGTACTTGTTTTTGTTCTATTTTGTTTTTTTTATAGGATATTATCGCAAATACTACGTAGGAATTTTAGATTGGAACACTAAATGATAATATGAAATGGGCATTGTATGGAGAGCGCCTTGGTGTTTGTATTTTTGATCTGGATGTCACACGGATTCAGTTGATCAGGTGTTTTTTCAAATTATCTGAATTACACTACTTATGCTTCCAGTGGGGCTCTTGTAGCGCAGTGTTCGAAAGGCGCCTTGCAATACACATGAAATCAATCTCCTCGCCCCAGGTTCACCAAGCCTTCCATCCTTCTGATGTCAACGAATTAGTAGCCGACTTCTCTGGGAAGATAGCAGCACTGGCTCGATATATCGGTAGACCACCTCGAGTCATTTCAAAGGCCAGATATGCATTCAACGACCTCCAGCGATGCTTAATGAAGTAAAATGCATGGAGTATCTTTAGGGATTGATCAACGTCGAGAGCTTTATCCTTTATCCTTTATACTATTTATAATTCCAGTTAATGCTCTTCAGTTGGTTTCTAGGGCGTTAAACTTTATAACATACATTGCAATGCGTGGTGGTTTAATTTTATTCATAACAAGTAATCGTGAAACAATGTTCGATGTCGAGAAAACCGCCCAAGAGGTGTGTTTCTAATGTTCGTATCAGTACTTACACTGTTTCCATGGTTCCCTTTGTTTCCCTTTGTACGTTGGAGTTTTGAATTGAGCACTTTTAGTGTGGTGAGTATTCTCACATTCGACGTTGGCAAGAAGGAACATTTACCAATGCGCGCCAACTTTTCGGGACAAGTATTCGGCTTCCAGATGCGATAATTTTTATGAACACCCTTACTTCATTAGCTGTCAACCATCCTGCAATAATTGGTAAATTTTAATATAGCATTCATATCTCCTATATTAATGTTTGCTATTGAAGATAGATTTGCAGAAGCTGCAAAAATGACTATCCCAACTGTCGGAGTAGTGGACAGCAACTCGGACCCTGCTTATCTGACTTATCTCGTTCCAGCTAACGACGACAGTCCTCAAAGTGTTGAATATTTGTTAAGGTATGTTTTCGTATAACTGAGTATGGATAATTTTTTAGGATGTTATTATTTCCTTTGTCCGTATTATCTTTCGTCTGCATTATTACAATGACCCTAACATGCCAACAGTTTTCATTTTATTTATTTTCGCTTTTTTCACTGGATCAGTTTTATTGCATTAGCACGGCGTTGCTTTTTTTGTTGGTTAATCGTATGTATGCTTTAGTTAGTTGGAGAGAATTGGTTGAGAACATTCATCCTCATGTTTGAAATGCTAGGTTTTTATGTAGTTAAGTTAGGTTCTCTATTTTTTTTCCTAGAAACGATTACTGAATTCTTGCTTCTTGTGTACGGGTGACATACTTGTTTTTGCAACGGTAGTTTTTGTATAATTTCAAAGTCCATGGAATATTATTCTTTATACTATGTGATGTGATAAGGGCGCATGTAGAGCAGTCGTCGTAGCCGTCTTGCAGGACACATGGGATCGATCCTCGCGCCCCATGCTCACTAAGTCTTCCCATCCCTCCAGAGTCGGCAGGTTTGTAGTAGACTTGTCTAATAGGATGGCAGTACTGGCTCGATACATTAGTAGGCCACCGTGAGTCATTGTATAGGCTAAATATGCATTCACTCACCTCCAACGATGCTGAACAAAGTCTAATGGATGGCGCATCCTTCTGGGTTGGTCATCGCCGAATGCTTTAACCTTTATTTTTTAATGTTATGTGGTTTAAAAATATGCGACAGAATGTCTGAATGTGATGGTCTGTGGCATGAGCAGTCATAACACGAAATATGTGGGTTTAAAATTCAGTAGATTTGGAATACTTAAAATCGTTGGTCTCATTCAAAAAGCTCTTCATGTAAGTGATGCATATTTCTACTGATGCATTTATGTTGGAGTCGTCCATTTAATCACGACCATAATATTTTGTTTCAATCACATTGTCCATAATTCATTGTAGGCTATTCAAAGAGGCCATCATGCGAGGAAAACAAGCTCGGCGAGAACAGAAAACATATTAGACCGCTCTTCACCGTCCCAGATTTCTCATACATTGTTTTTGATTGTTTTATGCTTAATGTTCAAACGTTTTATTGCAGTGATATAAATGTTCAGAAGCTGATCGATGTAGTTTACTTTATGTTCTAATTCCTTGAATATCATGTCTTTATTTGTTGCAAAACTTTTTAACTCTGTCGAATTCTTAGCAATGCTGGGTCGTGTATTGCCTACCCTGAAACACACTCCTTCCCTTCTTTCCACGGCAATGATTTCCGTGATGCCCGATAGAGTTTCTACCTCAGAGGGTTGCGCAGGTGTCACACCTCGAGTGCTACCGAACTTGTCGAAGAGTCCCTTCACGGAAATTCCCCAGGTTTGTTGGTTTACATATTCAGTGAGGAAGAAACAACTCCGATATTGGTTTTTTGAAGGCATGGTTGTCTACTTTTGATGCAATTGAGGATCGGAAACTAGGCCTGATAGATCTTCATCCTGATGTGTTTCGAGTTCCTCCAAGACTGGATATTTTACATAGGCTTGTCAACCACACCCAGATTTAATCCAGCTTTTCTTACCATCTTTGGTTGTTTTTAGGAATATAACATGGCAGTCGGTGTATCGCAACGTTCAGCTGACGAAACAGCTCACACGTGCAGAAATGCCTGGTGGAGGTTTGTGTCTAATGTCTTTTCACGTAAATTCCTTCAGGATTTTAATTTATTTCCAGGTCGTAAACCTTGGCCTCAGAAGAAAACTGGGCGTGCTCATGTTGGTTCGATTCGTTGTCCACAGTTCATCAATGGTGGTTTTGCCAACGGCGTTCGTGGACCACGGACATGGTTTTATATTCTGCCGGATCCAGTCCGATTGAAAGGTATTTGAGGAGAATCAATGTTTTTGTGTTTATGTGCTTAAATGTGCTTTTTAAAGAAAGTTGTTGTGACTAATGCTTCGAAGTTTTCGTCTTATTGAGAACTTGATTGAGCCAAGTCGATTGTCCTTGGCCTTTCATCCCTCCGATTTAGGTTTCCATGATCGCGCATCGAGTCTAATCCAGTGGGCACCGTTCGAATGAGGTGACCCTATTCGCCAGATTTTTTTGTATAGGACATTTGTTATTGGTTGTCTACGGATAATTATGTCATTTTGTGACGGCAGTCTGTCTTCTAGTAGTTATTGCTATATCACATCGTACACAACAAACCGTTGTTTTCGGGAACCACATTTGGTTTAATGTCGGGGCTAGCAATCGATATCTTTCGATTACCGAGCTTCATCGAGGTTGTCATCATTTTTCTCTTTATTTTTAAACATTTTCTTTGTCGACTGTTCTTTAAATCTCTACTATCTTATCTTTATCCTTCCGCTTTATCATGATCTTCTCACTAAAAGATATTATCAGTCGATAATCAGTAAACAATCGTCCTATATAAAAGAAAGCTGCTCAATGAGGCTACTTCATTCGAGTGGTGATCCAGGATTCTACGCCCTGCGCTCACGAAGGCCTACACCGGAAAGATGAATAGACTCGAACCATTCTGGCTCTAAAGACGAAAGCGCTGAAATATTATCCGCAGTAACGTTCTTTGTTCAAAAGACTGACTTTCTATGAACCTCAGCATAAATAGTTGATATATTTATTTATATAATCTTATAAACTGATTTTTTTGAGCTGATGCGATGTTGGTACAGGTTGTCGTTGTTGTTGTTGTTGTCGTTGCTATTGGTGTTGTTGATCGATGGCTGTTTCGGCGATTTCGCCCTCCTCAGAGCTGTGCTTTTACGAGTGGGATTCGCGATTTCGAACAACGATAGTGAAGACCTATATACACCTCGTATCAGCTAAAAAGATCAGTTTACAAGATCGTATAAATAAAGGTTTGTAGCAACTTCGTGTCGGCTCAGCAGGGGAAAAAATTCAAGGTTATCTGAAAGTCAGTTTCATAAAAGGTGTTTAGCAGCAGTTTTAAAAAACTTTTACCTTCTAGTCGTTTTGAGCACTTTTATGTCCTTAAATTTCAAGAAAGATGCTTTCAGGTCTCTGTGTGGCTCTCACATTAAAGCATGCGCAAGATTCTCTGCATATTGTCGATAGATTGGACCAACTACCAACAGATTCAGATGCTCAGTTCCTTCAAGATTTAGCAGATTCTCGAAACTGGGGTTACTCTGTCCTATTTGTTAATGAAACTGATGAGGTTCGCTTTTTTCGCCTAACTGAAATCCTTTGATTGCCAATTCACTCGAATCGCTCGGATCCAAGTGAAAGTCGCCATTTGTTCTGATTGTTTTTCTTGTTGAGCAAGTTTTCTGGAGTCCGTATATAACGTCGCCGAGGGCTTCATATGTTACCACCATTGACGTTCGCCAGCGTTTTGGTGAGAGCTATCGCGCTCGTAATCCGATCAAGATGGCGAGTCTTTAGTCCTAATTTGGATTCGGGTTGCAAATGTGGAGCTTCTCAGCTGGAGTGACTCTTCCTGAGGGACAGGTGTATTTGTGTATACTACGTTTCAACACGCGAACGCTTCCACTTCACGTAGATACGGTGAACCATTGAAAAACAGTCATGTTTTCCTGGATAAGTGATATTCTATATGATATGGAACATTAATACTGATAAGATAACTGACGCTGACAATTTTTTTTGCAGATAAAAGGAGGCCTCGCAGCGGCGATTGAGCAATTGCCGTCGTTCACTGCTATGCCAGTTTATGGACTGAACTGTTTCTCACTTATGAAATACGATACAGTAGTACTTTCCAAGAATGCACTCGACTTACTGGAGCAGCGTTTGCTAAAACAGCTGCATAGGGCTGGTCCAATGAATAAGAAGTATAGGTACGTTGCTGCGATTTCTTGGGCTTTACATTGTGGTAGTTTGTAATCTTACAGGTATATTGATTACAAAGAAAGAATATTGAATGAGGGTGAGAAGGAAGATGATCCTTTGCAACCACCAATAGTGTAGTTTGTTCTATTTTTCTCATTTTGGTCTACTTTACTGTTCATAGGTTAAATGTTCATAGGTTGTCACGGGAATGTAACCTTCATGACCGTGGATTGTATTTTCTTCTGCAGTTGTCGTTAAATGAATTTGTACTGCTGTGATTGTAAATGTATTTAGTATTTGTACGTGAATTTTAGTGATGAGAAAGATTTTGTTGAAATAAAAGTATTATGCGCTTTCTGTTGTTATGCTATTTCAATGGTGTTCACTAAAGTGTCATCGCAGATGAATACCTTATTCTGTATTCCATTCGGCTTATTTCGGTCCACTCTTCTCTGTATTTCAGTAGACTTTGTTTTTCTCACGTATATACTTTGATTTTCAAAAAGATATGTATGTGTATGCGTGGAGCGTGTAGTGCAGTGGTTAGAAGTGCCTTGCAATAGGTGCGTGGTCTTCAGTTTGATCAGGTATCCTGGGCTTGCCAGGCGTTTCACCTTTGGGATCGATAGATTGCTACCAGAGTTTCCTGGGAGGATAGCGGAACTGATCTGATACAGCAGTAGGCTACCGTAAGTAACTCTGTAGGTCGGATATAGACTGAATCACCTCTAGCGATCGAATGCTTGGCGCATCCTTGAGGATTCGCTCCAATCCGAGAGCTTTAGCAACTATCCATTACACTTACTTATTTGGATACCTGGATGGTCCGTCTTCAGGAGTTGTGCGGATCTCAGTACATTTGCCGTTCGTTTCTTTCCTTCGCGATCATCGGCCGTGCAATCTGTAAAATAACCGCAGCTGCGAATAAGGCTAATTAACTTTGGTTACGAACACGTCCGTTCCAACGGTTTATCTCATCATAGGTGGCAGGTGTTCATGAGTGTTGGACAGGGATGTACTGCGGGAGGATTCATCCTCTGGCAGGGTCTCCCAAGCCGAGAAATCCGTCGTTTTCATCAGGAAGCCTAGCTAAGCGTAAACCAATACCAGGATCCACTACCGTCCTGGTATTAAAGTCACATGGCAGCAAATCTCCTGATCCACAAAGGCTGCGACTGCTCGTGGTGGTGACGACTTGGGGCAGATTTGGGCCTGGCTGACCCCGAGACTCTAGGGAACCACAGTGGCTAAATCAGCAAAACTCCGAAGAATGGAGATTATGCTGGTGTACAACTAGTGTGGACGAGCCGTCCAGGGTAAGTACCCAAGTAAGAACACGACCGTCCTAAGGGACGTTTGCATTCTCGTGGAGTCCACTCTACAGTTGTTTTCGTCCATCTGTCGTCTGTTCCAGTCATTACGCGACCGGCCCATTTGTGTTTCGCTATCAATGTTTGTTCTGTTGGATCCCGAAGATGTGACAGATTCTGAAAATCAGAGCTCCGCATTCCGGCTAGATATTGAGAGCGCCGGTTACATTTCAGAAGACATCGTTCAAGCATTCTGTGAATAGTACATAGTATTCTCGACGTTGTTGAATTATCAGCCCACGTCTCTACAGCATAACAGAGCGCTGGAATAACTTTTAAATCTAAAAGATGCACTATAGTTTTCGAGCCGTTCAGTTGGTCGTTTGCTTCTTTGAGAAGCTTGAATGCGGTCCTGCTGTTTTCCTTCTTTTTATCGAATTCCTCGTTCATGTTGTTCTTCCATGTTCATTGATCGCCTAAGGTATACATACGATATGGTCTCTGCGATCAGAGGACCATCCAGTATGTGATCGACTTCGGACCATGGGTTTTTCATGAACTGCGTCTTCTTTCGATTTATGCGAAGTCCGATTTTTTTTCTCGCTTCGTTTAGCTCGTTGATCATCATCTCTGCTTCGATAGTACTTTTGAATGCCGCAGTGATATCATCGGGTCCTAGAGCTGTGCCTTTTTTCATTCTTTTTATCGCAACTTGAACTTCCGACAGAACAGTTCCAGGTGGTTTTTCGCCAGCGGTATATTTTAGGGCGCTAAACGTGGATTATGCTACGGAAAAGGTTGGTGTTGAACGATTCCGGTATCAATTTTATATCATGGCGAGAAGTTTTGGTAATCCCATCTTCGTTCATCAGGGTTGATAGTGTTATATTATAATAGCAATGTCCCCATGAAATTTTTTCAATGTGATTCTATACCATGCTTTAGTTTCCTTCTCTTCTCGAACAGCTCCTTAATGGTAGTAGAGATGCGATCAGATTTTCTCGCTTGGGGAACTGGGAAAATTCCGCGTAGTTTCTGAGTCCTTCGACAAGCAGCTCGTAGTCTTTGGTTGGGTCTTCCTTAATCTGCCAGTGAGGTTTGGAAAGGATTTCGTTCATAACATTCTCGTCATATACAGCCAGACTTTTTCGTCATGATCGATCACATGAATTCTTTTCCAGCTTACTTCTGACTCGAATCTTTATGTGAAGGCAATGACCAGAACCAGTGAAGAATAAGGGAAGTGCTGATGCGTTAAGTAAGCGCCATGTTCTGTTTGTCAGAATATGGTCGATCTCCGCAATAGTCTTTCCGCTAGTAGACTCCCATGTCCAGCAGCGGCATTTTTTCCTTATGGAAAAACGAGTTTCCCTGAAAGGGACGTGCTACACACAGGAGTCCTGCGAGACGGTTCCCGTTTTCACTTCTTCCTTATCCAAAATTTCCGATCCTGTTTCTGCTGTCCTTTGCCTCTCCTGTTTTGGCGTCGAAGTCTCCGACAACAACTTTATAATACGCTTTATCGTTGCGGATAACTTCCTCCAACTGATAGTAGAGTGCATCTAATTCGTACTCATCAGCTGCGTCGGTCGGTGAGTAGCAGTTGATGGTTATGATCTTCTTGTGATGCGTATTGATGAAGATAATTATTGAAGATGCGGAGGGCGGCTATGCGGGGGGAAAGGATCTTGCGTGAGTTGACGAGATGGACAGTGGACGGGTGGACTACAAAGCCTACGCCGCCGACATTTCGTGATGGAACGTTTTCTTCGCGGATGACAACGGTCCCATTGTTTAGTTGACCAATGTTGATCTTACGTCTCTTTGTTTGTTTGTGGAGAGATTATATGGAATCTAATTCGATTGCGGCCTCAACAAGAGCGTAAAGATCAGCATCTGAGGAGAGTGCGCTAGTCTTATACGCCCAGAGTAAGAAATAATCTCTACAGCGTGTCGTGGCGTCTAATCGTAAGATCCGGTTCCAATGAGGTCCTTTAACTCCAGGTATTGTGGCTTCTCATCGGTCTTCTCAGTATTTGATTTTGTAGAAGGGAGCACTCAGTGTGCGGAGTACTGAAGCTGACCTATTGCTGGTTGAGCACTTTGATCTTCTCCGAATCCCGAATTAACATTGCAACTGCGTATACGGCTCTTCACCACGATGTGGATAAGAGAGAAGTATCTATTTGGAAACGATTTCCTCGTTCAGCCTTTGTGTTAGTTGATTCGGAGCCGATATTGAGACGGAAATCAAAAACGGAAGTACGAATGAAAAAATGACCGACCGCTGAAGTATGATGTAGAAGCCATTATCGTTTATATATGTATATTTATATATACGTGTGTATACGTACATATCTTTTCATTGAAGCCACATGTCGACATCTCAGAACGTTGACAGCAAGCCAGTTCCACTTGTGCAGCGGATTTTAGCCCTGCAGTCACGCAACAAAAGGCAGTTGCAAATGTACGAGGCTAGCCGAACTACACAAAGTGGGTGTTTTAGCCTCACTTTTCTGTTTCGTTATAGGAAATGCGAATTAATATGCTCGCCTGTGGTCGTATGTAACACTTACAGGTGATGGGAATAAAGAAAATAGCCTTCTATCTATATCAGCAAGCTCTTATCAGAACAAAAGTGCTCCTGCGGAACACGTATTTGACCTGAGCAAAATAAATGACAGCATTGCTGTAGGTTTTTCTGGAGTATCTTGATTTTCCTCTTTCCTTTTCTTCTATTGCAACGTGCCATAGTTGGTGCAAATTGACATGTGCAGGGAAGAAACTGTAACCTTTCATTTGATATTACTTTGAAACATCTGTCTCGTGCTGTGCATGGCATATTTTGATGATTTCTATTTCGCAGGATTGAAAACTATTTCCACATACAAAGTTTTTATTTACTTCTTATTTGATATTTCATATTCTTATGAATTATAGTCCACGTTTTCCAGAATCTCCATAGTGTAAGCGCTAGCGCAGCGTCAGGGAATAATGTCGATGTCACCTCTCAGAAATCTTGTCAGAAACGCCGACCTAAATCGAAGCAGGAGAAGTTGTCCGTAATCGCAGAGAAGAAGCTGGACCAGGAGAATTGGTGCGGTATCTAGACTGTTTTTCATGTCTTTAATATATGCGTACATGAGCGCATGTGGCGCAGTGGTCGGGGACGCGCTGGTGTACACATGGGACCGATTCAGCGCCCTGGGCTCACCAAGCCTTCCATCCATCCACGGTCGGCATGTTGGTACCAGACCTATCTGGGTGGATAGCAGCACTGGTTGGAAACATCGGTAGGCCGCTGTGAGTCATTGTAAAGGCCACATATGCATTCAATCATCTCCCCAACGATGCTTAATGGAGTCAAATGCATGAATGCATGACGCATTTTTCAGGGATTGATTAATACAGAGAACTTCATCCGATTTTTTTCGTACATATGAATATGTATATAATTTCTTTGTTACTTGAATGGTTTTCTTTAGTGACCGTCGATCAAAATCAGCTATGGAAGACCGAGATGCTGAGGGACAGAATCAACTCATCAGGTGTCGTAGTAATAGTGCTGGCAGTAAAACGGTGATTGATCTGTGTTATAGTTGATTTTTTGGAGAATATTTTTCTCGTAAACCCCATTTGTCTGTGTTCAACCGATGCTTACTTAACTTTAGCCTCGTAGGAGTTCACAGTCTGCCACTTTTGTCGGCCCGTTGGTTTCCACACCATTTTTGCAAAGTAAGCACGTGGTTATAAATAACCATTACTATATGTGGATCAATTTGTTAGGGAAAGGAGGCAGCAGTCAAGTGAGTGGTGATGCCAGCAGTTCACATTTTATCACTGTTATTATTATTATTATTTGTATAATACAATAATTGTATACCACAGTATTTATATTTGTTTTATTACCATTATCAATAAAAACAATAATAATAGTACTTAAGTTATTGTTTAATATTAATAGTAGTGGTGATAAAGCCGTTATCTATTGTTATTATTATTTTTGTTATCATTGTTATTATTATTATCTATTAGGATATTTATTCTTGTTAAAATTATTACAATAACAACAACTATTATTATTATTATCATTATTATTACTATTACTATTACTATTATTATTATTATTATTACTGTTACTTTAACTTATTATTTACTGCCTGCTCTTTTTTAACGGCAGGGTACATTGCGAAGTATAACTTCAGTAATAATGAGATATTTGCAAAACTCCGGACCGCAGGTGCCTGCGGTGGAGAACGAACGCGCTATTTTCCTTTCCGGGGAGTTACGCGTTCGCCACCACACCATGCTGGTCTTTCGTTTCGCCTGTCTCTCAGATAGTTCTATCGATCTTTACTGTTATTATTAATTGTTGTTATTGTTAGTAGTATTACAATTATCGTTGTTGATTGCCATTATTATTAACTATTACTATTTTTTGTCTGGAAGCAGCTCACATCCTCCAATCCACATGGGGACTCTAATCCAACTGTCCTTCACTTCGAGGGGAATCGACTTGACTGTAATTCAACGACATTCATGCAAAGGGCACCACCCTGAAGCTGCACCCGAACCCACGAACAGATAGGTTTTTATTGAATGATGGATGCGGAGAAACGAATCGAATGTAAGAGTTGCTACGGCTAACACAGTGCATGTAAAACGAATTATTCATTATTAAGAATGAAAAATGCGGAGCCGATAGCACAACAGTAGTGATACCGACTATCATGACCATAGTGCTAGTTCGATTCCGCTCCGGGCTAACCAAGCCTCTCATTCCTCCGGTGTCGGGAAATTGGTGCTGGATTTTCTGGGAGAAGTTTACTCTTTGCAATCCATGTGGGAATGCTCTAAGTCAGCTATCTCATACTGGAGAATCGACTTGATCAGAATTCCATCACATTCAATATGAAAGGAAAATCCTAAAGCAACAATCGAAGCTACACGTAAGAAGTTCTAAGACCTTCGTGGATGATGGATGCGAGGAAACGAAGGAATGTGAGAATTGCTGGGATCCGTACTGTAGGCTGAAAAAGAAAGGTTTAAAAAAATGGTGAAAATATCATCACCAGGATAATTTCTTGTTACTGTTAATTATTGCAATTGTTACTGACAACGTTGTTATCATTGATTGCTCAATAGAAGTCCAATAGAAGATGAAAATATGGCTGTAAGCATTTCAGTCTTACTCTGAAGTTTTCTATAAACTGAAAAAAAAGACGCCTATTCACCAAAAATTCGGGCACTGGTTATGGAAAAATAATCGGCGTTTGTCAAAAACCAGCATGATTGCTAATGTGTTTAAAAAATATTCTCCTCACTACGTGTAAATTGCAGGTCTATGAAGTCTTTGACGAAACACGGAGCGAAGTTTGTGCGCTGAAGGTTGTAGATTTAGGTAGGTAAGATTTTAAGTTTCGCCTGATAGCGTAGTTTTCAGTAGTTTTTGAAAATATTGATACAAGGGACAAATGTTTAATATATGTTTTGTTTAATCTCTTATTTAAGGAGAGGTTCCATTAATACGTCAGTGTTATTTGAACGAAATAGAACTGCTAAAGAGTCTTCAAGGCAGTCCTTATGTAATCAAAATGCTGGATTAGTGAGTGATTCTTGCGCATTGTATTCCATTCACTTGACGGTGTTCGTTAATAGTAAAAACGGGTGCTTCAGTGAATTGCGCGAATGTGAGAACACGCTGTATGTAGTGATGGAGAAGGGCGATATTGACTTGGCGACATTTTTGAAAACTCGACGAACCGAGATCGACTTCTCCTTTATTAAATATCATTGGAATGAGATGCTTCGATGTGTGAAAGTCATCCACGACAGAAGTAAGGCGGAGTTATGTTATCTAAGCCCTTCGGGGTTTGTAATAAATACATTTCTGTTCACTTAGCAGACCAGCAATTATGCCAAGTTAACTATAATGATGCTGAGATATTTGCAAAGCACCGGACCGCTGGTGTCTGCAGTGAGGATAAAACACGCTGTTACCCTTCCTGGGTGCTAGCGCGTCCACCACCACTCCATGCGAGTCCTTCGTTTCGCCTTTCTCTTTCAGCAATTTACTCTGCTTGTTTACTAAGTGCACTCACGGTTGTGAAGGATTTATTGCTTAACAGGCTTTATTTTAGTCTTGTAATGTTATGTTTATAGAGATCGTGCATTCTGATCTAAAGCCGGCGAACTTTTTGCTAGTTAAAGGAAGTCTTAAATTAATCGACTTTGGCATTGCAGCTGGAATCCCGAATGACATGGTATAGTTTTTTTTCGTTTGTTGGTACAACATTAGGTTACTTAAGTCACAGTGTTTTCGCGTTAGTGTATTTGTATTTATTCTCCAGACTGCCGCAATAAAAGAAAGTCAGATGGGTACATTGAGCTATATGGCCCCCGAAGTGCTGCAACAAGAAAATGTCGATGGAAAGTTCAAGGTAAGGCATTGTTTTTTGGATTTTTATTACCATTTTATTCTTATTGCGCTTGTAACCGGCGTGTAGCGCAGTTGTCGGAGGCGGCCTGCGATGCACACCTTATCAATCCACGCGCCCCAAGCTCATCAAGTAATTCTTGGTCATCAAGCATTACTTGGTTATTTTATTACTTGGATACGCGAATACTTGGATGACCCGTCCTCACTGGTTGTGTGGGCGCCAGCATAGACTCTATTTTTTCGGAGTTTTGCTGGTTTAGCCACTGTGGTTCCTAGGAGTCCCGACGTCAGCCAGGGTAAAGTTTTGCCCCAGATCGTCTCCACCACAGGCAGTCGCATCCCTTGTGGATCAAAGGAGGATTTGTTATTATGCGACTAATTTGGTCCCAAGACGGTTACGGGTTCTGGTATTAGTTTACTGTTTGCTAATCCGAGTAATCGCGATAATAATGCATCGGAATTTTCATAGATTTTTAAACATTTATGATTTTTTCCAGATTCCATTAAAAGCTGATGTTTGGTCTTTGGGGTGCATTTTGTACAATATGGTTTTCGGTCGTCTTCCGTTTTCGATGAAAAACCAAATCGCTAAAGTATGTTTTACTGTTTTTTTGCAAGATTAAGAAGATTCTGTGCAAATACTTGTTCTAGATCTCAGCCATTCTAAATCCCAACCACGTAGTAGATTTCTCTGGCTGTCGTGATCCTCTACTTGTCGACGTTCTCAAAGTTAGTTCTGAAAATATGCGTTATCCTAATAGTGTCCTTCTCTTTTTATTCTTATTTATTACTTAGAGGTTTTCATTTAGCGGTGTCTGGTTCGAGATGTTCATAAACGAGCTGATATTAACGAACTTCTAGAGCATCAGTACTTGAGTAAGCGTTGCAAACATTTTGTTTTTATTTCGCCTCATTTTCAAGTCCAATTCTTTAGCCGGAGTTTTGTCTCATGCTGAGTCACAAAATTCAATTGATTCGGGTCCAAGGTTAGACTACCTCGCCATTGCACGAGAGCTTCAGAACAACACTCCGAACACGATAGCTCGCCGTCTGGAAGAGTTGACGCGTGGATCTCAGGTACTTGTTCCATTCCTGATCTCTGTCTCTTTAGTTTACTTGTCCTACCAGTGATAACAGACCAGACAACATGGTTTGATAACTTAGGCTAGCCGCTCAGAGGATGACGGAGGATCCGCCGCTATGAAGAAAATGCTGGATTTTGATCAAGAACTATAAGCTTCCATAGTAAAACCTTTCATATGAGCTGTGATAATTTCTTGTTTCATGCCGTTCGCATGTAATTTTACTGTAAATATCTCTTATAGAGTCTCTTCGCAACCTTGTGGGGCTAGTTTATCTTTTATTGATAGCAGTATCAAGATTATGGTTAAACGTCATCAAAAAGGAAACATATTTGCAGTGTACGTTTATTTTAGAATTTAGAGCATCTGTTTGCTAACTCTTTATTTGGGCCACAATTTTTTTTTCCTTTGTTTTCAACTGTATTGTAGAATCCTTATCATGAAATACAGGCATCTCTTAGGTAGTTTATCTGAACTTGCGTTAACTCCTTACTTAAAGCCTCTCATTAAGTTTTTCAGACATTAAACATGAAATTTATTTATTACTACTCGTTTTAACACGTGCCCTGCCACTGCGTTCAGTTCTCAAACCGAATTATATTCACCTCATTCACTTTGAGTTTTTGATTTGAGTAAATAAATATATACATATGTCGTTGTTCTCTCCCGATAATGTGTTAAATATAGCATCTGTTACCTGGTGTCGTCAATTTTCAAAAAGGCTTTTGAGGAGTTTTATCGTGGTTGTTCTATGTATTCAAAGGTGTATATTGATGTCCGATATTGTTGGAAATGGCCGTCCAGCTGGTGGCCCCAATTTGTTAGTCTCAAGTGGTCTTAAGAAGAAGTCTGGCAGCTCATGTCCATTTGGTGATGGATTTTATAGCAAAATTACGAAGTTACTTCTTTCAAAGGAACCAACTGCGGTTAAGGAATTGAAGGAATGCGCTAAGATTGTGAGTTTATCAGTATTTTATCATACTACGATGAGGACAAGCTCTAAGTATGACGTTATAGACATTTCAAAGTGTTCTGCCTCAAAAATGGGACACATTGGGAAATGTGCATTAACTTCCCTTTTCCTCCATGGTGTCTTCTTCCGATCAGAGCTTTCATGCTGGTGTTCTAAAAATTTCTGTGCTGGAAAAATAGAAGTACATCAATTCTGCGGCAGTTCATTGCCGTTATGTGAACAGAGAACTTCAAAGACTGCTGCTAATCAGGAAAGTAGTGGCCGTTTCTTTTTCGGTGACACAATGGACAAACCGCATTGAGTTCAATACAGTTTTCAATCGACAAAAATCTAAACCTTGTTTTGTACGATGTACAGAGAACATCGGTCGTTAATGGAAGTGTATAAACATTTAATGCTCACCTGATTATACATTGCAATTGATCGGACAGATAAGCTGGTGCCTTAGATAGAATAAGTAGTATTTTTTACTATACCGGCTATTACTATCTTGAGTTCATCTGTTAAGCATCTCCATGTTTAGAACAACTTAAGCTCAAGAAGGTAGTTTATCCTGAATCTATTGCAGTGCTAAAGATTATTACGAAAGATCGTAGAATACATGCAGCACGAATTTGTTCCATCCATGCAGTCATTCGTAATATATTGTAATTTCTGATTTATGACTGAAGCTGCGACGTAATAATTTAATGGGATAACATTTCTGAAGGAGCACGTATAGCGCGGTGGTCAAAAGCGCCTTGCAACACACATGAGATCGATCCACGCGCCCCAGGCCCACCAAGCCCTCCATCCTTCTGGGGTCCGCAAATTGATACTACCAGACATGGCTGGGGGGATAGCAGCACTGGTACGATACCTCAGTAAGCTACCGCGAGTGATTGTTAAGTAGCCAAATATGCATTAAATTACTTCTGGCAATGGTTTACTACCTCATTATATTCGGGGTGTTCCTGGATATCTAGCGGCGATGTACAGTTGGAATTCATTCCTGTAACAGTGTTTTTTTTTCCTGAGAGGACGTACGACATTTCCATCAAGAAGATCACCTTAGAACGAACCAGTGTCAGGGCTCATTGCTATCCTGGGAATGAAATAGTCATTGCCTGGTAAGTCTTCCTCACCAGGAAAAATCCTGTCTCGGTGTCCAGTGATCCAGAGAAGGTTTTGCACAGTTGGCAATTCACCAGTAAAATGGGATTATGAGCTGGACTACTCTCCATGGTTTTGGAGATCGAGCCATTCCAACATTAAAACACCTATCCAGGAAATAAAGAATTCTTCGTTTTCTTGTAGATCTCTTATTGAAGATTGTGATTCTGGTGTATTTCTTCATAGCATTATGGTTGCACTGTGCTTTAATATCTAGTTTCATCTGCATCTTTATGTTATTGATCACTTTTCTCTTTCAAAGATGTCCACTTTGTATAGGTGCTGTGTTTAATACTATTAATATTGGGGATACTTGAATGGATCGTCTTCAGTAGTAATGTGCTCCCGAAAACATGTTTCTCTTTCGATATGTGTCTTTGGGGTTCTCGAAGGTAGGACTTTGTAATCAGAGAACTATCGACTCTGCCTTGCTCATTTTCGGATCATACATTTTCTGTGAGTTGGTTTTCTTCTAGTTTATGCGAAGCTCTCTCCTTTTTCTCTCTTCGTTGAGCTTCCTATGTATCATCTCTGTTTCACGAATCTTCTCGAGAAGGTGGAAATCTCATCATTATAACAAAAATCTAGTATGAATTGTGTTATTTATTATTGCGTTTGCACATGTCCTCCTGGTCTCTATTAAATCGTCAAGCTTCTCGAGTTTTTTTTTCAAAGGAGATTTGGGCAGTCAGAGGAGAAGCTGTGTTCAATAGTCAACTAGGGTCGTTGGAAAGGTAGCCAAGATGGTTATGTAAGTGAGTATTCCTTTGTCACGAGCATTAATGGGATTGTATTCTCTTCGACGCCGTCAAACGCTTTTTTTATGTCCAAGAAATGTAAGATGGATTGTTTTTCGACATATTTGCATGACCTAGTGTCTTAACTGGTTGCACTACCTCCAAAGTAACCAATATGGACGATTGAATAATTCTTCAATAGCTCAACATCGGCATATGGACGGGGCTGTGATTATCAAAAGTCCATCCGTCATCCTCCTTGTGAGCGAAGAACGTGCATGAACTTCGCTGGTATAGGATCGTTCTCCTTTGAAGGTATATTGTAATATGTGTTGCAAAAAGCACGTTTAGCTATGGATTCCAGATCAAGGAAGCCGGTCGTAGTGTTATATCGTCGCAGAAGTGGTCCCCTATCCATGCTCCTGATCTTAATCGAACATTTCAGAGAAAAGAATCCAAGATTGCTTTCATTTAGCGACGATTTCGAGGTCTGGTAGGGAGTCTTTGGTGCAGAAAACCTTCGTTTAGGGCTGTTCCAATAGCAATTCCGCACCGCAAGAGGTGCTGTGCGATCTTATCTTCGTTTACCAGGTCTAGTAGCGAAGCATTACATTTGTAACAGTTCCCAATGTCGACTTCCTGTTAACCTCGACATTGGGTTATAAATGTGCCGTTTTGTTTTTCAGCAATCGCAATCGATTTATACGGCACACGTTTACTTTTGTACAAAAAGAACAGATAACCTTGCGATTGCTGGAAAAGAAAACCACACATTACATTTGTATTTATACCACCAATATTTCTTTAGAGTGGTTCCTTTTTGAGCTGCTTCCAACAGTTCTTTTCTTAGCCACAACGTTGCTGAGATATTTGCAAAACGAAGGACCCGCATGGTGTGGTGGTGAACGCGTTACTCCCCGGAAAGGATAATAGCGCGTTCGTTCTCCACCATAGACACCTGCGGTCCAGAGTTTTGCAAATATCTCAGCAACGTTGTGGTTATATTTCGCTTAGTACCCTGCCGCGAAATTATAGTAGGAAGAAAATAAAAAGGTATAATATAGTTCTTTTCTTTGTTTAAAAAAATGCAACTGCTACCTTTTATTACCATTAACTATTAGGTATTACTAGCTGTTGCTACCTACTATTGGTATCTATTTCGTTTTTGAAAGACGTGTGTTCAAGAAGAACCAATATGGATCATAGCACGTCGGTTCAGTTGGAATGTGGATGCCTTGGTGAGACCATTTTTTAGAGTGTCAGCAAAAGTTTGACAGGTCCTTCCTAGTTCGTCCTGTTTCAGTAATTCTGTTAGGGGATGATCACTTGCTGTACGTCATAGTCGATCCCAGCAATACTTTTCTTCAATGATGTAGGCGTGCCAAACTAGTTCCGAAGCCGTTTAGAATAGTTATTATTGTTGATTACTGGGCATTAACATTTGAGTAACCAATGGTGTCTGGTTTATTAAGCCAGGAGGATATTTTATAAGGCTTTTGAAAAATAACAGCGGTTGAGTATTGTTTAACAAGTTTTCAAAAACATTGCTCCCAATTACTCTCGTTGGTTTTTTCATAATTGTTATTGTTACTGCTACTACTAACACATTCTCCTCCACATGACTTATATAAGGGCGCATGTGGCGCAGTGGTTGGAGGCGCCACTGCGACACACATGTGGAATCGATCCCCGCGCCCCTGGCCCACCAAGTCTTCCATCCCTCCGGGTCGGCAAATTGGTACCAGACTTGTCCGGAAGGATAGCAGCACTGGATCGATACATCGTTAGGCCACTGCGAATCATTGTAAAGGCCAAATATGCATTCAATCACCTCCAAACGATGCTTAATGA